TATATTCACGCCAATAGTCCTGTCACGGTCGCCAGATGTTGGGAATACCAACGGGGTGCGCGAATAATGACACGGAAAACTACAAGAATACTTAGCTTTATTGGGTAAAAACTGCAAGAACACGACACGTCCTTTCGTGGCGGCAGAGGACAAGATGACGACTGACTAAAAAACTGAAAGCGTCAGGCTTGCCAACCTACGCAACTAAAAACTCTATCACGCCATACCAGCGCCTCTATTCTTACCTCAACAACTTGTATAGATTATACTGATAAACATATTGATACCAATAATTTGAGTAATGGTATTAACTATGACAATGATGCAATATCTCCTCTAAATAATAAACTTGGCCATGACACAACAAACGGTGAAAATATTGTCAGTAATTTTACAAGACATGCTATTTCTAACAATGCCATAGTATTTTCCAATGACTGTGATAAGCGTAAGAGAGATAAGTGTGCAATATATAATGTAGCACTTTCCTGTGATAACAATAGTTACAAAATGGTTAATGATAATATTAAAGCCACTAATTGCACAAATGGTAACGAACCTAATAACAGCGAAACTGGTAATAACGTGACATCTTCCTGCAATAATGACAAAAGTCATAATACAGTAAATAGTACTATTAATACTAACAATTCCACAAATGGTAACGGTTCTGACAATAACGTAACACTATCCCCTAATAATGGCAAGCATTGTGACATAGTAGACAGTGCTATTAATGCAAATAATTTAATATCTAATGCTTGTTTTGATAATAATATTATATCTTCTCGTGATAATGAACATGACCATGATATAATGGATAATGAAAGTAACGTTGATAATTGTACGAGACATGCTGATTCTGAAGATGCCACGATATTTTCCAATAATTGTAATAATCATAACAGAGGTAAGACTGCGGTTTTTAATGTAACATTTTCCTGTGATAACAATAGTGATGAAATAGTTAATGATACTATTGTTAACAATTGCACAAATAGTAACGATCCTAATAACAGCGATACTGGTAATAACGTGACATCTTCCTACAATAATGACAAAAGTCATAATACAGTAAATAGTACTATTAATACTAACGATTCCACAAATGGTAACGGTTCTGACAATAACGTAACACTATCCTCTAATAATGGCAAGCATTGTGACATAGTAGACAGTGCTATTAATGCAAATAATTTAATATCTAATGCTTGTTTTGATAATAATATTATATCTTCTCGTGATAATGAACATGACCATGATATAATGGATAATGAAAGTAACGTCGATAATTGTACGAGACATGCTGATTCTGAAGATGCCACGATATTTTCCAATAATTGTAATAATCATAACAGTGGTAAGACTGCGGTTCTTAATGTAACATTTTCCTGTGATAACAATAGTGATGAAATAGTTAATGATACTATTGTTAACAATAGTACAATTGCACAAATGGTAACGATCCTAATAACAGCGATACTGGTAATAACGTGACATCTTCCTACAATAATGGCACAAGTCATAATATAGTAAATAGTAGTATTAATGCCAACAATTCTACGAATGATAACACCCATTTTGATAGTAATGTGATGTTTTCTTGTGATAATAGCGATAGCTATAAGGTTGTAGGTAATGATATTAATACCAGTGATATTAATAATTTTACAAATAGTGATGTTTCTTATACGAATGCGACATTTGCGTATGATAATGGCAGCGTTAACAATTCTGAAACAGGTGTCGTTCTTCATGATGTTATGATATATTCCCATAATAATGAAAATAATTCTTCTAATAAGTCTAGTATTTTGAATGATGCAAATGCTATAGCTTCTATAGATTGCAACGATAATAATATAACATTTTCTTGTGATAATGATATTATCAACAGTACTGTTTCCGCAAACACGACAAATGTTTCTGAATATCTACCTTCCACATCGGAAGTTACAGAAGAAATAGAAGCTGAAGTAGAACAAGAGATTAGCCATAATAATAAATCTACACATAATGATAAAAATTCTTCAGAGTCAGTGATAGATATTTCTTCTGTAAATACATTTGGTTGTAAAGAAGATAATTTACATGTCCCATTCTCTCAACCTAAGGGACTTAACAAAAAAAATTTTTGTTATTATTGCAAAAAATTACAAAGCAAGATTGCACGCCACTTAGAAAATGTACATAAGTCGGAATCCGAAGTAAAAAAATTTATATTACTACCGAAAGGTGATTATTACCATCAAAGTTTTTAATTCTATAGAATTTTATTGAATAATTCTAACAAGTATTAATAATTTATCTTTTTTTATATATATTTAATGTAACAAAATTCATATAATATAAATTTCATTATTGTTAATATGCATTACTTAATATTATTTTTATTTTAGGCAATTTAGAAAGGAAAAAGATTATAGAGACAATTAGGAGGAAAGGGAATTTTATATACAATACAGATCCTTCCATAAATACAGGACAGTTAATTGTTTGTCGAAGACCTGCCAAGATTAGTCGTAAAACTGTACGAGATTTTACATGTTGTGCCAAATGTAAAGGATGGTTCACTAAAAATAATATTAGGCATCATTTTAAACAATGTGCAAATGTATCCAAAGGCAGAAATGTACAAATTTTGGGACGTGCCGTAATGGGAAGAATCCATGAATGTGCAAGTGAGATAGTAAGAAAAAATTTATTCCCAGTTATGAGGGAAGATGACGTTACACGATGTATTAGATACGATAAATTACTAATAACATATGCAAACAAGCTATGTATCAAATACACTCTTGCACATCAACAAGACATGATACGTGCCAAACTTCGATTATTAGGTCGATTTCTTATAGCAGTGAAAGAATATAACAGTAACGTAAAAGAGTTTTCTGATATATATGATCCTTCGATATACGACGACTGTCTTAAAGCAGTAAATAAAGTAGCTGGTTTTGATTATATTAATAAAAAATTTGGTGCTCCATCAAATGCATCAAATATTGGAACATATTTAAAACACCTTGGTAATTTATTAATACTAGAGTGCCTAAGAACAAAGAATAAAGAAAAACAAAGTGCCACAGAAGATTTTCTAAAAATAGTACAAGAAGACTATGGGACATCTATAAACAAAATAGTGGAAGAAAATGTAACGCAACATAAAAGACAGAAAAAAGTTACGCTTCCATCTATGGAAGATATAAAAAAGTTACATTCATATCTAAAGGACAAAAGAATACTATTATATACAAAACTTGAAAAAAAATTCACCTACCAAATCTGGCAAGAACTTGCAAAAGTGACACTTACGTCTACACAAGTTTTCAATAGGAGACGAGCAGGAGAAATTGAACGTATTACCATAGAAGATTTTAATACACGCGAAGGCATAACAAAGGAAACTTGTTTAGATTTATATAAATCATTAAGGACAAATTTACAACAGGTACAAGTTATGATTTTATTAACGTATAAGCGAAATACAATATATATAT